ACAGGATGCGGATTTGCCAACGTACAGAGCAATGATCGTAGCAGTCACGTAGAGAGTATGCAAGTGCAATAATCAGGAAGTCTGTTTTCTCAGAGAAGTGAATAAATAAATAAATGAGAGGAAGAGAGACACACACAGAGAATGGACGAAAAGCGAAATTTTGTGATTTTTGACAATCCAAGTTTTAATGATCTGAAAGAAAAGGATTTAACTCTAAAAATATATTTTTTTCTCTTTTAGAATGACTTTTCTTTTCCCCTGATAAACAGAGCCATTTATAACCTCCATGGTCTGGACCTGGACTCAGGATTGGGCTCTGGAATGTTCTATAGCCTAGAAAATGAACTGGTTCATGGAGGAGCATATGGCTCTGGACACAGGGTAGGCCGTGGAGTGCACCATGAATTAAGCCACAGCCAAGGGGGTGGTTACGGCATGAATCCTGGCAGGAGTCATGGACATGGAGGATGCCATGACAAGAGCCATGAAGTAGATCACAGAAGAGGCTGCCAAGGAAGACATAGAGGAAGGGGGAGTATGGACATAGACTGGATAATGCAGGGCACTCTGGCAAAGGAAATATCGCAGAAGAAGGCGATCATGGAGGAGAAGGCAGTGGCCATAAAGAGGGTCAAGATGGGCTCCCAAAAGGTCTTTAGGGAATTGGCCATGGAGATGGTCATGAGCAAGGTAGAGATCATCGAGGGTTTGACCAACAGGGCAGCCAGAAAACAGAGAGTGTTTCTGGAGGAGGCCTGCAGCCTCATCAGATTTGGACCTGAGCTCAAGTAAAGATTCTCCCTAAGCTTAACCATAGTTCAGAACCTCTTAGGAAGTCATAGTGACCAACTGCACAACAATTTCTCTTTGCTCTCCTAATGCACAAGTAATAACCTGTGCCCTTTCACTTTGGAATTCTTTTTTATTTCCTCATGACGCAGTGTGACCAGTAGGCAGAAGGAAGATATGATTACAGCCTTAAAAAGCACAGCTCATACTATTTGTGGTGGCAAGATGACTTGCTTCCTTGTTTATCTGTTTGAGCATTCTTTCCCCCCCTTTTCCCCTTTGTTACTGAGTGCTTGCTATGTGCTAAGCATTGTACTACGTAATTTTAAATGCACTATCATTTAACAATTTTGAAATTTGTAATCTTAAAACAATCTTTTGAGAATTTCTACTTTTCTGGCAACATAGTGGACAAGATGCATGAATGAAAGCATTCATGAAAGCATTCATCCTCTTAATGAAAGCAACAAAAATTACTGGATAAAATATTGAAAAAAATCTTTGTAACTATATCAATCAGCTGGGTAGATAGTATCAACTAGCTGGGTAGATAGTAGGTAATATTTAGATCAACAACCAAGAGAAGGCAGAGACTCAGAGAGGCTGAAGGAGAGCTCTGAACCAGCTGTCACACTGAGGGCATTTGCCGTATCTGGTGAATTTAAGCTTACCTTCTCACAGCCTCTTAGCACTTAGGGTACAGGAGACAAAGTCCAGGACCTGCATAAGGGGTGGAGTCTAATAGGAGACTAAAGAAAGCTGAGACCTAAAAGGGTTAAGGTTTCAGTGGTTAAACTAGAATGAAATTGTATTGCCCACCTTGCACATTGGCGACTGAGACAAATGTCTGTCTCTAAACTTGACACTGAGTGGAGGGGAGTAAAAACCTCCCTTGAGAATTTGTAATTGCATAACATTCTTCATTTGGGTTTGTAGCTTCAAATCATACAAACTAGGTAGACAGAAAGCCATCTTTGACCTACACATGTCCTCCAGGTCTCCTTCATCTTTGGGAAGATTCTCCCTCCCCACTTCTTTGTCTCTTCCAAATGCTATATGAGAAGTAAGGAGAAAATCACTGCAACGTGCTACTATTAAAATCTCAAAATACACTTGGCATCTATATATTTATGCTCTTCCTTTGTCCTTTATTGTTGCATGCTTATTATGCACCAAACACTGTGCTGTGCCTTTAAATACACGATCATTTATTTCTCAGAACAATCCAATGAGGACTTAAATTTCTGGCTCTATAATGGGCTAGGTGTCTTAAAATATGCTGAAAAACTAAAAATGGTGTACTAAAAATTCTTCTTAAAAGTATCATTGATTCAGCAGGACAGTAAGGAATGCTAAAAGTAAAGACTAAGTTAAGGTAGGAACTTAAGGAGGTAAGAGTACTCAAGCCAACTTTTGCCCAACCAGTGAATTTAAGCTTCAGGTAGCACAACCTCAGTCAGACCAACCCAGGTGAGGACTCTTGTAGTAGACCTTCACATAAATCTGAAACCTTCAGGGAGAGTGTAAACTAAAACCAAACCCACCCCGGGACTTCCCTGCTGGTACAGTGGCTAAGATTCCACGCTCCCAATACAGGGGGCCCAGGTTCAATCCCTGGTCAGGGAACTAGATCCCAAGTGCCGCAACTAAAGATTCTGCATATCACAATTAAAGATCCTGCATGCCGCAACGAAGATCCCGCGTGCTGCAACTAAGACCTGGCGCAGCCAAATAAATATTAAAAAACACAAACAAAAACAAACCCACCCCTCCTCTAAGGAAATGCAAGCAAAATTGCCTGTCTCTAAACTCAGTGCAAGGGAAGGGAGGATGGGGGAAGTACCTCTTGAGAAATAACTTGTAACCACAATACTTTACATGGTTTGCAGCCCAAAATCATGTAACCTAGGTAATTCAAAAGAGCTCAAGCCTATAATTTAATTTAAAGGAATCTACAAGTGGTATTGCCTCCCTATGCTTGGCAAAAACATGCAAATTCACTGTGGAAGATCAGAACTCACCTTGGGTTTCAAAGGACTTATATAGATAACAACCCAAGAAAAATAAATTTACAGTCATAAATCTCAAATCACAAATGAGGCACCATGAGTGAAAGCCAGCAAGAAACAAAACAAAACAAATAGACAACAGGATCAGATCCGCAAAAACTATAGATATTGTCATAGCTTTATGGTTGTCTACTAATATCCATTATCCATCTTTGAAAATAGAACTCTCAAGTTTTAGTTGAGCACATGTCCACCCAGCAAAGGACTATATTTCCCAGTCTCTCTTGCAGCTTACTGTAGCTGTGTGACTATATTCTTATGGTGTGTTAGCAGATAGCAATAACTTCTCATGAAGTTAAAAAACAAGATAGAATTAACATACTTGATAACGTTAGGGTTTGAGCTGGGAGACAGGTAATAAGAATGAAAGAGTTCCAAGGTCCTTGTATTGTTTTGAAGGAGCATAAAGATATTAATTACATTTAGACTGATAAGTATGCATGTAAAATTTTTTTAGGATATCTCTAAAAGGTGAAATCTGGATTTGAATTCAGGACCTCTGCCTCCAATTAATTCTAGAGGGAAGAAAAGTTTTCTTTCTTAGAGTGCTATTGGCTTTACAGCCACAGATTAGGATTGCTGGGAGTTCAAGACCCCATCTGTCACTGACTGGCCCCTCACACCTCAACCTCAGGAACCACCCATTGCAGCCGCTAGGCATGTAAGCCTTTCTTAGCACACTCTGTCCCTCCGGACTCTCAGACTGACTTATTCCAAGCTCCGTCATGCCTCCAGCCACCTCCTGCTTGCAGCTTCTTTCTAGCAGGTCTTACATGTCGGGGATACCCATTCACCTATAAATAAACTACCTGAGATGTCGTTTCTTCCACGAAGCTTCTCCTCATTGACAGGGAATGGAGACAGCTGACTTCGGTCATACAGACTATGCATTGGAACTCCCTTCAATCCCACTCCCCTTACCCTGGTCACAAGAAGCTTTCCCCATAAACTCCCCAACCCTCCACTCATTTGGGTCTCTTCAGTCATGCTCATTTAGCTGACTGTGTGTCCTTTCTGCTGCTATATCTGCATCCAGACCCAACTCGAAGTTCCTAGAGGACTTGGACTAAGTATCTCCCTCCCCCAACAGACCTGAAGTCTCCTAATGTGGTGCCCGTGGTATACCTTGCTGAGAGATGTTTCATTAAGGCTGATGAGAGGGAACATCTGAAGGATCTCAGGGAAGAAAAGGTCCTATGAATTACTCCGAAAACAAACAAGACAGGAATCCCTATGGTTGAGAATCAAAAGGTGGCCCTTGTGGGAGTGGGGGAGGGAAGGATTGGGACTTTGGGATTAGCAGATGCAAACTATTATATATAAGATGGATAAACAACAAAGTCCTACTGTATAGCACAGGGAACTATATTCAATATCCTGTGATAAACCATAATGGAAAAGAATATAAAAAAGAATATATATATAACTGAATCACTTTGCTGTGCAGCAGAAAGGAACACAACATTGTAAATCAAGTATACTTCAATAAAATTTTTTAAAAGGGGGGCCCTATACCCCCGCTTTACCTGCTATGAGTGTGACAGGTGGCTTGTTCCTGCATATTCAACACTCTCCCCCACCCTCATCCCCCATGTGCCAGAGACCCCAAAGATGGCTACACTACCCATGGATCTCTCTTTTCCTGTTCAGTCATTGTGCATTGTTGAGTGTCTACTGCATGCTCAGCAATATACCGTCTGTCTTCTGCCCATATCCCAGGAGCCCAGATCCCTAGTTACTGCTCTCTTTGAGGTCTCTTTTTCTTTTTCTTTTTTTTTTTTTTTGATTTAAAGATGTCAGGTCCTACCCTTCAGCTCAGTCTATTAGGGCTTCTTCCATACTAAAAGCAGGCACACAGGACTTCCTGACCAGGAAACAAAGTCTTGAACTGGAACAGGTTTCTGGCCCTATTTTTGCCTCAAGGGTGGGTCTCTTCCACTCTGACAACCTTGATCCCCTTATCACATTCTACTTCCTGCTCAAACCCATCCCAGTGCCCTGCCTAGTATGATCATGTCATTCTCCTTTCTCACCTTCCTGTTGAACCCCAGTCTATTCCTTCCCAGGCTCATTATTGTTTTGTTACCTGCTCATAGTTGGCAGAAGAAGAAGGCAACTTCCCAACCCCTCCCTTTTATGAAGCTATAAAGGCTCCTGCAGCTCTTCCATGATAAAGAAAGAGGCAACAACATTGTGTGGAAGAAGCTCAAGAAGCCAGGCATCCAGTCTCCCACCCCGCTAGGCTCCAGATTCTTTCCAAGAACACATACGTAGGAGAACCAAGCTCCTGGAAGCTCCAGCCTTTACCTCTTCACCTTGAACTCTCCTTTCTCAAGAATATTGTTCTTTGCCTTCTAGGTCTTGGCCACATTTGGGATCCAAGCGTCTTTTTTACCAGCCACAAAGAGGCAGATCAAGATGCAGAAAAGAAACATTTGCCTTATGTACTGGTTGCTGTTGCATCTCCTACTTTTGGAATATGGTGAGTGCTTTTCTTTAAAGGTGGATGGTCTGTGAACTTTTGAGGGATTGTGGGAGATGATGACCGGCACTAGGAATAACTGGTTCTCTGCCATAGAGTGAGGGTCATCATTTCACCCCAATCGCTTCAGTCTAATAAGGTATCACCTGGGAGGCAGTCAGAGCACAGTGGTTAAAACTGTGGACTCTGGTCTCCAATTGCCTACGTTTGAATCATGGCTCCATCTGTTACTGGTACACTTTGGGTGAGTTAACTTCTCTGTGCCTCCATTTCTGCATCTATAAAATGGTAATAACCTGTGAGATATGGCTGGGGTTTAAATATTAATAATAAGAAGAGTTGACTGTTATTTTAAAATATCACTCTTCTATATTATAAAATCTTAATTTTTCTCGTGTCCTTAACCCCTATTCCACAATCAGCCTCAGTCAGCCTCAGGCCAAGGAGAAAAGGATTTAAGTCAAAACTAACTCCCACTCTGCTCCGCACCTCTGACACTCTATTAAACACTCCTCGGGCCGTCTCCTATTGTGCAACTAGGAAGCATGACTTCTTAGAGAATTCTTTTTCTTTTTGGGGGGCGCAGTGCCACACGGCTTGCACAATCTCAATTCCCCAACCAGGGATTGAACCCGGGCCACGACAGTGAAAGTGCCAAATCCTAGCCATTAGGCCATCAGGGTACTTCCCCGAGAATTCATCATTTTGAATCAAAATTAGCCCTCATAGAATTTTTTTTTTTTTTTTTGTGGCACGCGGGCCTCTCACTGTTGTGGTCTCTCTCGTTGCGGAGCACAGGCTCCGGACACGCAGGCTCAGCGGCCATGGCTCATGGCTCACAGGCCCAGCTGCAGCATGTGGGATCTTCCTGGACTGGGGCATGAACCCGTGTCCCCTGCATCGGCAGGCGGACTCTCAACCACGGCGCCACCAGGGAAGCCCCACCCTCATACAATTTTGACTCAACTATTCTATTCTCCAAAACTTCTCAAATCAAATCCACTCCCTCTTTCACATCACCCCTACTGTTGTTCATCTCAGTTTCTTATTTAGTTTTACTCATGATTCTAACCTTAACTCCAATTTGTACCCCATTGCAGAGTTTAGGGGGCCTTCCCCAAATAGAGCTAAATTCTAATACTATGTTAGTTCAAATAAGCTACACACGTGTGTGGTGAGGTGCTAGGCGCTCATGTCCAAATTAATAGTAAAATGAGCCACAAATGAGATAAATTTTGTTTATCTGGGGAGGCTAAGCATCTTTGTCCTTCAAGGTAGTGAGAGGCAAAAAATAGGCACAACCTTAACTCTAGCTGAGCCTTCAAGAAGGGGGAAATGCTTCCCTATACCTGTAGATCTTGGTTTGCAGACCTTAATCCTGGGAGATCTTCTATATTTAAGTTACATATAACTTGCTCTTTTCTAACCTTTGCCTTGTAATCAGGAGCCCGTGGAACTTTAATGCATATGTAATCACCCAGATACCTAGGCCTATCTCAGACTCTGATTCATTTAGTCTGGAGTTGTTTGCCTAGAAATCTTTATTTTCAACAAGGTCCCCAGATAATTCTAATATAGGTGTTTTCTGAATAACACTCAGAAATATTTTCCAAGAAAGAAGCAATACCACTTTAATAATGAATTAATCAATATACACTAGTTTCACCTGGGTTCTACAACTCCTTTATAATACTTTTTATCTGTGTTGAATATTGTACAGCAGATGATGGAATAAGCTTACTATCAGTGAAATTAGGTCATGTAACCCTGGTGTTGGGGGTGGATGTGGAGGGTGACTTAGCATGGTAGCTAAAAGTGCAGATTCGATGGCCTGGGTTCAAACTCCTGTTCTACTACTTACTAGCTGTACAAACTTGGGCAAGTGTCAACATTTCTAAGCCTCAATTTTTTCATCTTAGCTGTTGATAATAATAATATCTATTTCATTGGGCTGTAGTGAGCGTTAAATAGAATTATCCATGTAATGAGTTTAACCAACCATTGAACAGAAAGTAGATATGCTCAATATATGTCATCATCTATGATTATCATTAGGCATAACCTCCGTTAGTGGGAGCACACCTAGCCCAACTTCCAGTGAACCCACCACAGCCAACACTGGACCCAGTGCAACCTCCAGTGGGACTAGGACAGCCTCCAACACTATAGCCAGCACGACCTATGGTGGTACCAGCACAGCCACCAACTCTGGATCTCAAGTGACCTCCAGTGGATCCAGCACAACCTCCAATACTGAAACCAGCATGACCTCTGGAGGGACCAGCGCAACTTCCAATACTGGATCCAGCCTGACCTCTGGAGGAACCAGCACACCTGTCAACACTGGATCCAGCGCAACCTCTGGGGGGACCAGCACAGCCTCCAATACTGGATCCAGCCTGACCTCTGGAGGGAGCAGCGCAACCTCCAACACTGGATCCAGCACAACCCCTGGGGGGACCAGCACAGCCTCCAATACTGGATCCAGTATGACCTCTGGAGGGAGCAGCACAACCTCCAATACTGGATCTAGCCTGACCTCTGGAGGGACCAGCACACCTGTCAACACTGGATCCAGCACAACCTCCAGTGGGACTAGGACAGYCTCCAACACTATAGCCARCACGACCTATGGTGGTACCAGCACAGCCACCAACTCTGGATCCCAAGTGACCTCCAGTGGATCCAGCACAACCTCCAATACTGGATCCAGCCTGACCTCTGGAGGGAGCAGCGCAACCTCCAACACTGGATCCAGCACAACCCCTGGGGGGACCAGTACAGCCTTCAATACTGGATCCAGCGTGACCTCTGGTGAGACCAGCACACCTGCCAATATTGGTTCCAGTATGACCTCCAGTGAGACCAGCATAACCTCCAGTACTGGATCCAGCACAACCTCCAGTGGGACCACCACGGCCTCCAACACTGGACCCAGTGCAACTACAGGAGGCTCTGGTACACCCTTGACAACTGGAATAATCACAACTTCCAACAGTACTGGCACAAGTGCTGGAACTACAGTGAATGAAGGGCCCAGTGGGTCCCTGAAGCCATGGGAAATCTTCCTCATCTCTCTGGTCTCGGTTACAGTGGCTGTGGGATTCTTTGTTGGGCTCTACTTCTGTGTGGTGAGTGCCTAATATATAGGAAATTGCCTGGGGGGAAGGAATAGGGAACATAGGGAAATAAGGTATGAATAGTAGGGCCACCAAGTTAGGGATGAGTAGGGAGGAAAGAAAAATCAGGAGAAAGTTACGAAAGAGACATAGCAAGTTAGAACCAGAGAAGCCAATCAATGTGCAGAGGAAGCTATTGACTTGTGGGAAAGGGGAGCAAAAGAAGAAATAAAGACTGGTGGAAGGACTGCTGAATGAGGGAAATGGTTTAAAGGGGGAGAAGATTCCAGAAGGAGTCCCTAGTGAAGGCTTCTCGGGAGTGGAGGAGAATCCAATTCTGAAATGATTCTGCCTTCTTTTTCTAGAGAAACTCCCTGTCCCTGAGAAATGTCTTTGACACAGCTGTCTATCCACTCCATGGCCCAAACCTCGGCCCAGGCCCTGGAGGGAATCACACAGTCCACCACCGGTCTAGGTGGAGCCCTAATGGATTCTGGAGGAGACCGGTATCCTCAGTGGCCATGGAGCTGAGAGAGAGCCACAATGGGCTCTAAGTGGCTGCTGAAGCCAGAGAGCCACATTTCTCACAGAGGAAGCCAGCCTGGGGGACCAGAGATCTGAGTGTCCTTTCATTCGTCCCCAGGAGTCCCCTCCCAGCTTTGTTTGGGTCTCTGCCAGTATTGGGAAAGACACTTCCTCCCTCTCTCTTGCTTTTGCCAGACACTGGAAAGAGGAGACTCTGCTGGTCATTTAGCTAAGAAATAAACACATACAAACTGTATCACAGAGAGAACCTGTGTGTGCACACGAGTGGTGTCTGCTGCGCCGAGCTGAATTTCCCGGTTGTATGAGAGAACCCCATGCTAGAATCCACTTGGCATTCAGAATCTCCACAGTAAAATCCAGAGACGTCATCCATATCTGTCCCCTTTTTCTAATGCTTCTTGCCCCAAGCAGGAACCCTGTGCCCCCAAGAATCTCCCAGACTGAGAGGGGAATTGAATTGGGAGAGATGAGAAGGGAGGGCAGGTGCCCAGATCCTACAGGCTCATGGATTAAGCCTGTGGTAGGTAGAGATTATGTTGTAGCACATGCAGAACCCAAAGCATGACAGGAGGAGGTATGCTGTTGGGTGGGGGGATGGGCGGGGAGGGAGGTCACTCAAAGCCACAGTTTCCAGGCCGTTTACATTTGCTCTAGACCTGGGTTACTTGTAAGAATGAAGGTGTTGGTTGATAACTCTCACTCTCAGTGCTGCCTTTGGAAGCAGAGAGAAAGTGCTTCCTGTTTTTATCAAGGGAAACACTTCCTAGCCTGCTAAGATTTCCTTTCAAGAGGGTCATGGCAGAGACACCTGGGGTAAAGCCTGAGATTCTCATGAATTCCCCTCCCACAAAGGCTGCACATACCCCTTTCATGGTCTAGGATAGAAGGCTCTCTGATCTCACAGGTCTTGGAGGACAGAGGCGAGCTGCTTTGAAAGGCTGGGTTGCTCTGAATCCATGAGGCCAGTGACACGACTTCCACCGGGGACAGAGGCCTCAGGAGAGAATTAGCAGGTTGTTGGTGGGTTCACCCCAACTCACAGCAGTGGAAACTGCTCTGCCTTCCACCATTCATTGGGTTTCTCAAGTGTCAGCAAACCAGACGGTTGATCCTAGTCAGTGAGGCCATGCTGAGCCATGTACAGGCCCATCATCATCATCATCATTATCTTACCTACAGGGATCCAGCAACCGGAAAGAGAAGCTGAGTTGAACCCCCTAGAAAGTTGCCTCCCACTGGTGTGAACTGTGGAAAGCATAATGTGAAAAACGTGAAAATAAAGCAAGGGAGTCCATTTAGATAATTTTAAAACGTAAAACATGCATTTTCAAGTTTAAAATTGTAATAGATAAATTCAAAGATGCTGGTTGAGAATAAAGTTAGTTATTTAGAAGAGCAAGTGGAGAAAGTAGCTCAATTAGATACAACAAACCAGAGATGAAAATCACTGACATAGAGAATAGAAGACACTTGGAGGATTGATTCAGGAGGACTAACAAACAAGTAGTAAGATTCAGAACAGAGAAAAAAGGAAGAGATAGACCAGAGGAAGTAAAAGAACAACAGGGAAGAAAGATTTTAGTCTGCAAGTTGAAAGGGCTTATTAATAACAACTCTGTAAATATACTAAACCCCATTAACATCTATTTTAAACAGGAGAATATGCTATATAAATTATATCTCAATAAAGCTGTAAAAATATTAGTACCCAGCAGGCATATCGTGTAAATAAAAATTTTGAATTCCAAAGATAAACAGCAATGGGCACTTTGAGACAGTGGGAGATGAAAAGAGATGAAACCACGGTGAGTAAGTAATTCAGCTTGTGGTTAATTGACATGGTTACACTGTGAACATCTCGCTACTCCCAGAAACTGGAGTGTGTACACAGAGTTAGGAAGCATCATGACTCAACTTTTATCATGGGATCTGCTTACATGGATGAAACATGTTTTAACCCAACAAAGCCCCATCTCACCAAGGAAGTTTGACCCAAGCAGAGGTCTAGGAAGTTGACAGGATTAAGCGCTTTTGCACTGTTGGCCTAGTGCAATGATCTTTAAATGGAGTCTGCCCATACCCTTGGAGGTATATGAAGACTTTCTAAAGAGTATTATGCAGGTGTGGGATATCTTATGGGAATCATCTTCCAGAACTTCAACCTCGATAGGTATTTTGTGGCTGTGGTCAAAGCATCTGCTAGTTATACTTTTCTAGCTTTCCTTCTATAGCCACCCACCCACCTTTTACATTCTAGCTCCTATATTATTATGGTGGATTTCCCTAGGTGCAAAAAATTCCAGGGTGCAAATAAAGGGATAACTCAAAATCTCTTCTAATTTAGTCATTGTATACCCAGAGTAGGGCTTCATGTTTTCCCTTGCCTCACATAAATTCCTATTAGGGGCTAAAAGAAGTGTAATAAACGGGGAATTTTTGGACATGTTAAGATGTTATTTATTCAGATATATTGTAGAGTGAGGTAGCAGGGGTGATAAAGATTTCTGCTTAACAATCTCTTCTCTTTCATCTCCTGTCAAAGAATACATCCTTCTGGGGGGAACAACTCGTGAAAGCAGAGCTGTCATCAGTATGCTGTCATCAGTATGAAATAATAAGAGTGGCAGTCCCTCGTTTAACCCAGGAGAAAACCCTATAGCAAACCCTATAGAAAACCCTTATCTGTCTGTCTACCTATTTTAGAATATTCAAGATTTGTAAAAACTTTGCTGGGAAATAGCAACTTACTATGAAGCACGCATCCCTGGCTTATACACCGTTCTCCATAAGGAGAAACTCTGTCTCATTCAAGAGTTTCCTGGTTTAGATCACAGTTGGATATTTTGCATGATTTTCAAGGAGGAAGACATTATAAGTTGTACATTTACTTCCTGATTAATGTTATATCTTTTTTAAAAACTATTTATTTATTTGTGCTGGGTCTTTAGTTGTGGCAGGTGGGCTCATTAATTGTGGCTTACCGGCTCTTTAGTTGTGGCATGCGAACTCTTAGTTGTAGCATGCATGTGGGATCTAGTTCCCTGATGAGGGAACGAACCCGGCCCCGCTGCACTGGGAGGGCAGAATCTTAACCACTGTGCCGCCAGGGAAGTCCCTAATGTTTTATCTTAAGACGAAAGGAAGATCCAGAAGCTGTACAGCATACCTGCTAAGAGCACAGATTGAAGAACTAGAATTTCCGGTTTTAAATCTAAGCTCAGCGTGGCCTCCCACAAATTTCTTCACTTTCCTGGGTCTCAGTTTGCTTATCTGTAAAACTGAGGGCGATAACAGTACCCAATTCATGAGATTGCTGTGAAGCCTAGAATAGTACATTTGGTAGCACTCTATAAATTATGTTATTATTTTTTATATTGGGAAGGTTCATGTTGCACATTTTCTTGAAAATATGGAAAAACATTGCGGAGTTGGAGGAAAGATAAAAACATTGCATAAGAAAAACATTTTCATTTACTTTTCACCAAAATGTTATTGAGGACTGAGAAATTTAACACAAGCCACAGGAAATTTTTTTTATGTTTATAAACATATCTTTTGGTGCAGAGAAGCATGGTAGGGTGATCAACAAAAATCTTACAAGCAAAAAATATTACAGTAGAATAATGTAGGGGAAGTAATATCAAGGCAGAATAACAGGGGTAGAAACCAGAGAGGATAGGAGACAAAAACGGCCTGATGAGGTGCAGAGGTTTCCAGAGCTCAGCCAGAGCTCACAGGCTTCCTAACATTCCTTGTGGAGGCTGTCCTCGCACACCGGTTCCAGACTGCATTCTACATTCAGATTTTCACCTGGACTTGCTCCCCTATTCCGATGTATTTTCTTTTTTTGCGGTACGTGGGCCTCTCACTGTTGTGGCCTCTCCTGCTGCGGAGCACAGGCTCCGGACGCGCAGGCTCAGCGGCCATGGCTCACGGGCCCAGCTGCTCCGCAGCATGTGGGATCTTCCCGGACCGGAGCACGAACCCGTGTCCCCTGCATCGCCAGGCGGACTCTCAACCACTGTGCCACCAGGGAAGCCCTGTATTTTCTTTTTGTTCTGAATTTTTTATTTTACATTTTTTGTTATAGAGAGGTACCTTAAACAATGTGTGGAAGATGGCAGGGTATAAATGATGAAGACCACTCCAACTATACATTATTCCTTTTAAACTCTAAAATGTCCTCGAATTATAGGGCACCACATACAGACTCACTTCCACTGGTTTTCTCCTAAACATGCTGGCACTCTCTCATTCAAAACCAAGAGGTAATAGCAATAATAATGGTAGCTAATATTCATTAAGCACTTACTTTGTGGCAGGTACTATGCGAGCATTTTACATGTGGTATTTCATTTTATACCCCCAATAACACTACGGGGAAAGTGTTATTATTATCTTCATTTCATATACAAGGACACTATTCATACATAAGGACACTATTCACATTTCATATGCAAGGAGATATAAAGAGGTTAACAAACTTACTGAAGGGCATACAGCAGAGAACTCAACCCAGGATCTTTTAATTTCAGGAATCCATGTTTTTAACTGAAAGGCTATATGTTGGATTTGAAAACTGTGGCTCATCCAGAAAAGTTATACCTGGTCTCACAAACATGCATTTCCTTAGTAATACAATGACGGATTCCTGTTCTTTGGTGGCCCATCCCCTGAACACTGGGGTGTTGATTTATTTTTGCTTTGCAAATTCTACCACATTATATTGGTACAGCATAGTAAATTGGAATATAGACACAGTGAGGTTATTATTTTATTTGATTTTTTCCTTATTTTGATGTTTTCACAAGGAGAGAAATAAAAGATAACACATGGATATGAAGAGAGACACAGAGAAGTAAAAAGATTAGGAAGAAAAAAAATTTAATGGGTTCTCTTAAAAAGTGAAAATCTGTTTCCTTTGCTGTGCAAAAGCTTTTAAGTTTCATTAGGTCACATTTGTTTATTTTTGTCTTTATTTCCATTACTCTATGTGATGTATCCAAAAAAAAATATTGCTGCGATTTACACCAAAGAGTGTTCTGCCTATGTTCTCCTCTAGGAGTTTTATAGTAGCTGGTCTTACATTTACATCTTTAATCCATTTTGAGTTTATTTTTGTATATAGTGTTAGAGAATGTTCTAATTTCATTCTTTACATGTAGCTGTCCAGTTTTCCCAGCACCACTTATGAAGAGACTGTCTTTTCTCCATTGTATATTCTTGCCTCCTTTGTCATAGATTAAT